CCTGACTTGGTGGGCAACCATTGTAAACCAATCTTACAAATTCTTACATTTTCATATATCTTGCATTAGATCTGTTTCTGCATTATGCACTAATTGAAACATTTTGGTACCAGAAGTGGGGCTGTTGGCATGACTGTTCCTGACCGTGTGGTTCAGGAGCCTTTGGAACTGATTTGTGGGAAGAATTTACAGGGGTTGGAAATGCTAGCTGAAGAAGCAACCCTGGATTGCTTTAAGTTTTACTTGATGGAAGATTCTGATCAAAAATCAGAGGACCAGATTGCTGGTAGAGTGCAGCTGGTAAAGACCAGGCTCAGTAAGTTTCACTTAGCAACAAGGCTGTTGGACTCCAGACCATATTATTATGCTTTGTAAGAAAATTTTTCTGTATTTTGTTTGTGCCCGTAGAGCTTTTAGGAGACTGAGATTGAGTGTGGTGAACTAATTAATCTTACGGAAGAAACTTTAAAACTGTCTAGTGCTGAGGTGGTGGCATTGCTGTGATTGGGACTTTAGTTAGAGCTATGTTCAGGATTGCACAAAGAGCCCAACAGAATGACTTAAGTTTTGAGTTTAGCCAGAAAGAAACCTCTGGTAAAGTTGTGGCCAGTAAAAATTAAACAGAATAGAACTTGGTGCTGAAAAAATTAGCAAGTGAAGGACAATAGAAAAGATGGCCTGAGGACATCATAGGAGTCAGCAGGACTGCACCCTTTGTAGCCTCAACATTGCAAAAGTAAAGAACTTTGTTTTGAGAAGAGTCCCACAGCACCATGTTGCAGAATGCCAGTGATCTAGGGAAGTTGTTCTGTAGGATTTGGCTCATAGGCACTTGACCCCTATGCCCAAGAGAGGAGGAAGCCTGGCTCCTATTCTAGCTGGCGGCAGACCCTGTTGTCATCCATGTGGTGGTGGTTTTAGGTGCTTGCAGAATACAGAATTGTGGGTTCAGGAAAGCTTCCACTGAGATTGCAGAAGATCTGGGCAGTCAGACATTATGCTCCTGAAAGGACAGTGTGTGAAGCTGTGATGGTGAAGCTGAAGGTGCATTGGAAACTTAAGGTTAGAAAAGCCCAACACATGGATTGTCTCAAGGAAAGCTGTAAGGAATGAGCAAAACTAGCCTAAGAGGGAAGCTGTGCAAATTGCAACCACACACAGTGCTATAGGGGCAGAGCTACTCCAGCCCTTTGGAGTTTATATCTTGCCACAAATTGCCTTGGATGCTAGACATGGAACTATATTATTTAATGTTTGCCCTGGTGGATTTTGGACTTGGTTGGTCCTATTCTTTTGTGTCCTCCTATTTGTAACTTTTGGAATGGAAATGTCTGTCTTTGTGCCATTGAATGTTGGGAGTGTTTAACTTTCTTTTTATTTTTACAGAGAATCAAAACAAAGAGTTTGCCTTAAATCTCAGAAGAGACTTTGGACTTGAACTTTTTAGAAGTGCTGAGTCTGTTAGAACTTTGGCAGCTTTTAGAGATGGATTGTCTTTTGCATAAAGGAATGTGCGCAAGTCTTTCGGGGCTCATATTTAGGTGTTCCTCCAAAGTCTCACGCAGTCATAGGTAGGACTTTTCAGAATGGTCTCTTCTAGGGTGTGTGATGATGGGATTAAGTTTATGATGCAGGGATTAAGTGTGCAGTACTGGGATTAAGGGTGTCTCACCTTGAATGGAATACAAATGATGGAAAGAGGGCTGTTGTTGCTGCTTCACTGCTTTTCTGTGTCTGCTTGCCATGAACTTTTTGTCATCTGCCACGCCCCTTTGTCATGCCACCCTGCCTTAAAACCAGTGGTCTGTAGACTAAAACCACTACTTGAGCCAAAGTAAACCTATCATCCTTTAACTTTGGGTGTTTGGTATTTTTGTCTCAGAAATGGGAAAATTAACTAAGACAGCATTATATAATTAGAGAGATTTATTTTCTGTCTTAGTTTTATTGTCTTGTTTTTCATTCATCAGCCTGTAGAAACTGGTTTTAATTTACTTCCATTTTGTATTTCTGTTTGCTTTCTGTTTCTTCTCCCTTGTATTCTTCCATTCTGTCAAGGAATCTAACATTTTTTTTTATAAGAACACTAGTATTATTTGACATTTGGCTAGATGTGATGACTCATGTCTGTAATCCCAGCACTTAGGAGGCTGAGGCAGGAGGATCATTGTGAGTTTGAGGTCAGCCTGGGCTACAAAGTGAGTTCAAAGCCAGCCTGAACTGCATATTGAGACCCTGTCTCAAAAAGAAAGTCAATTAGTCAATCACATTATCTACTTAGCTATATTTTGAGTATATAAATATGTGATTGCCAGATGTTTGAGCTAGAAACATAGGCTGGGCATTCTTTGTAGAATATTAGAACAGCCATTTTTTTTTTTAAAGGTTAAACTGTTCTCTCAATTTGAACATTAGTCTCTTGTATTTCCAGTGATGTTTGTTTCTAGAGCTTATGTGCAGTCTGCATGTGCCTAAGTTCAAGTTTCAGGACAGAGCCCCAATTTGGTTTCTGTGTATGGTCCCAGCAAGCTTTAGAAGACACAAAGTAGTGCATCTCTTTCTCTATTGCAATTGCTTACAAAATTGAGTCCATCTCCCAGCCTCCTTGGCACCTTTGCTTGCTTCTTGTTATTCTCTGTACACTGTATTGGTACCATGCCAAGAACATTTCAGATGATTATTGTGATATGATTCTTGCTTTGGGAATGAGTAGGATTTCATCTGCCTGAATTAAGAAAAAGAACTAAAAACATTTAAAAGTAGATAAATAGGGCCGGGGAGATGGCTCAGTAGAATAAATGCTTGCCAGGAAAGCACAATGGCCTGAGTTCAATCCCTGGTTCCGCCAAAAAAAATAAATAAATAAATAGTAGATAAATATTTAAAAATAGCTTTCTCAGCCGTACAGAGTAGTTTAAACTGAAGTAGCATCTTAATGCCAAGTAGACATATTTATGGAATTTAATTGAATTCTTTTTTCTGTAGCCTACTCATTGTTTTTTATGTTTATTTAAAAAAAATTGGCCCCTTTTCATATAGAAAATTTTCACACTTTTGTCATATCCTCATGGCCCTTGTTTTTTTTAGTGTCAGGAATTGAATGTAGGGCCTTGCATTTGCCAGCCAGGTGCTGTGCCATAAGTTACATCCCCAGCCCTTGTTTATTTTTCTTTGAAGCAACTCACATTTTATACTTTAATGCATATATCTGTTCTTGTCCTAAGCACTATCATTTGCAGAACAATGGTTTTTCCTTATAAATTATTGACCTCAGGACCTTGCCCTTGCAAGGCAGGCACTTCTGACTTGGCCCAGTGAAATGTTTTGAATCTTAAGATTTATTTTTTTACTCACTGTATCTTGTATTATCTGTTAAGTCCTTCCTTTTTTCCTTCTTTCTTTTTCCTTTTTGTACTAGAGATTGATCCTAAGGCCTTCACACTAAGTTACATCCCCAGTCTTTTAAAAAGATTTTAAATTTTGAGATAGGGTCTCATTAACTTGCTAAGTTGTCCAGGCTGGGCTTATTATACTTGTGATGTTTATGCCTCAGCCTTCCAGGGTGCTGGGGTTATAAGGGTATATCACCATACACCTGGCCTCTGTTAGATTTTCTGTAAGTGAGCTTTACCAGAAGACCCTTTCAGTTTATCCCACTGACAGAACAAAAATTTGTTAGAAATACTTTCAAATGTAAGACTGTAAAAAGTCTTTAAAATTTAATAAGGTATAAAATATATGTTCTCCATGACTTGTCTAATGAATGCAAGCAAAATTTCACTATGCTTACAAGAGCTTATTTAAGTTGTATGTCTAACAGAAACAAGCTCTGTGTGTATGAGGCTTGAACATCTACACTTTACCTACACGATCCTTTTTTGGAATGGGAAGTTTGTTTTTACCTGTTATACTGCAATAAGACATTGACCTGTTTCAAAATCATTTTTTTCCTTAAGTGAAACAGTCATTTAATTCGATCATACCTTTTAAAGAATAATTTGGAAATATGTTGATTTTTAATATTCTTCATAACAAAGAATTCTAAACATGCAAGACTTGAACCTTCTCATGCAGTTCTCAGACTGGAGAAACCCTTCCAGTGGCTTGGACTAGCATCCAGCGGTATTTTTAGAAACAGTCCTAACTCAGTAACTATGTAAGCGCTGAGGACGATGGAGTCACAGGGCCGACTGGGCTTGCTTCCCACAGGGAGGGCTGGAGTTGAGCAGGAAGGAAGGCCTGCTCAGCAGTGCCTGTGTGCAGCTATGTCTGGGTAGGCAGCCGGCAACACAATGTCTCCCTTGTGCAGAGTGACTCCCTCAGTGAGTGCTCAGATATGTGAGGAAAAAGTGTTTGGGTAAGCAAAGAAGCGGGTGTTTCGGGGATTCTTCTTGTGTTTTTGTGGCATTTGGATTTCAGGGAGTGTACTATTTGTTGTTGCAAAGTAGTGGCTTTGTTTGCAGTGGCATTTTAGACTTTTTGAACCAGCTGATCACAGGCAGACTGAAGCGTCTTACTTTTTAAGAAGGATTTGTTTGCATTGAAAAGTTATTTGTGTTTCTTGGAATCCGAGAAAATTAATTGTGGTATTCATTTTAAGGTTGAATTCCCTACTAGACTTAAAATCTAGTTTTTCCTGTTTTCATTCTGAAATCATAGCCAACTTATGATGATGAATACCATTTAAAACTGATTGCTAGTCTTTTAAATGCATGATGTTGGTTTCAGGGCTGATTTACTTGTTTTAAAACACTGCAGCTGTTAATTGTTCACATAAGTGACTATGATATGAAAGTATTACGATTTACTTAAGTTTAAATAACAGAGTTCTGTTTTCACCAAAAAACTGGCATTTTTCTTTTGGGAATCTGATATAAGTGGGTGTTGTTTTTAAGAGTATTATTTTATATTTTCAGCAGCATTTAGGTACCATGCCAAAAGTAGTTAGCTTTTATAGCAAGTGTACATGTTTATAGTCTTTTGCTTTTGAATCTGTCCAGTGGAGTGTGACAATATGAACCGCTTTGACCGATCAGACAGAAATGTACGGCAGTCTCAGGAGGGATTTTGGAAAAGGCCACCCCAGAGGTGGAGTGGACAAGAACATTACCACCTCAGCCATGCTGACCACTATCATCACCATGGGAAAAGTGACTTGAGCAGGTGAGTGCTGCTTTTTGTCCTCTGGTTAATTTAAGTAGTACTCTTTCCTTCAAGACTGATTTTGCCTGGTTTTTGTGACACCCTCTGTCTCCAAAATTCAAGTTATATATGGCATTAGAATAATGTCTAATTCTTCTTGGCTCAAATCTTTTTGTATTAGCTTTATCATTAGTATAAATATTATATTTCTATGTACTTTTAAAAAAAGTTTTGGTATGAGATTTTCAGTTTCTAATTTGGGAATCCTTAGATGTTAACTTTGTTAAAGTTTAAAATTTTATTAGGTAATAATATGTAAAATTAGTGCCAAATGATTTGTTTTCTTTGGCTTATATGTCTGAATCCTGAAATTCTACAAGTACTATTAGAAATACAAGAAGATATTGTGTAACATAGAAGGCTTTTCCTTTTTTCTTTTTCTTTTTTTTTTTTTTTTTTTTTGCGGTACTGGGGATTGAACTCAGGATCTTGCACTTGCCAGGCAAGCACTTATTCTATTGAACTATCTCCCCAGCCTGTTTTTTCCATTTTGAATTGTAGGGTAACTTTTAATTTGATCAGAACTTATGTATAATGAATATGTGCATAATACAGATTAGCTTTACAAATTTAGGTTATTTCCCCACCCCTTACTTCAGTTTACCACTGTTAATGATACTTAATAACACGTTTCTCTCAGTACTTAAGGATGTGGGATAAGAATGGTGCAGCATCTTGTTTACAGTAGGCACTCAATGGCATTTATTATTTTTTTATCCTTTTCTCATCTCATTCCATAAGAGATTTGAGGTCATTCTGAAGCATATTTAGGATATAAAGCAAAATTAGGATAATGAAGTAATGGAGAGAAAATGTATGGACATGTATGTTCCATAGAGTAGGGAACAGTTATTTCTGAGATTCTTTGTAACGAAAGCAAAGAACAAAACTGGATCCATTACAGGTTGTACAATGTGCATATGCTTTTTCCTAACTTATTTGTTTTTATGAGACAAAAACCTAAGTGGTTTCTTGCATGACTTCTTAGAAAGAAAATACCTTGAAATATTATGGATAGGTCCCAGCTTCTCCTAGTAGAAACAATGATAATTTTCTTGGCTATTTCTTAGCTTTATATGGGGCAAAGACTCTAGTCAGGTTGAGGAAAAGCAGCTCAATGGGTCATGAAAAAATTTCTAACTAAAAATTCTTCTAGTGATCAACAAAAGGATGTAATTGAAATGATCTGGAAGAATGCACTGAGCACATTATCATTTTAGACATTATTCACTGTTCTGTTTCTTATATCTAGGGGTTTGATAAGAAATAGGCCTCAAGGGGAAAGAAAAATGAAATAGGCCTCAGAGAGTGGGTATTACTAGGCAAGAACATGGTGTGAAGAGAGTCTTTGTCAGTAATAAAGAGAAAGTTACACTTTCCTTGTCTTCTGTAGTAAGGACATAAGGCCAACCTACAAAACTTAGAAACCCAGTTAAAATATGAATCATTGATTATTCTTAAAATGTGTTCCTCTACTTAAAAATATTAATTGAAAATCTGTATGTTGGATACTGTTCTAATTTCACAAGCTGAATGAGTTTGAAGTTAGTGTGAGAAGAGCTGTGGATTGGCAATAGATTCTTGGAACATTGTTGAAGACTAAAAATAATTCTGCAGTGAATGAGCTCAATAGATAACTTTGTATTTATCAGTCTAGATAAGGTTCACATGCCTGTTTCACCATATATGCATATGAGTAGTGTATTCTTGCTGCTTGGATGCTCAGAGTCTACATGAGAGATGGGCATGAGACAGTTACAGTGCAGAGTTAATGTGATGCAGTGATGATGTCTGCACAAATAAGATGATGGATAAGAACTCCAGGAGCACATAGCAAATAGTATCTATCTCGGATGTCACGGAATAAAGGGCGTTACAAGTAGAAACTGGAGAAGAATAGTTTATAGGAGGATGGGATTCCACCTGGGAAAAATTGCATGTGGAAAAGTTTTATGATAGAGTATGGCATTTGTAGAGAACTACTCTTTAAATTTATTTTATTTTTTAAAATTAATTAATTAATTTTTTTTTGTGTGTGTGTGTGTGTGTGGCCAGCTCAGCCCACCAGGGGGCGGGGCTGACTGGCATGTGGTGCTGGGGGATTGAACCACGGTCCCTGTACTTTGCTTAGCTTAGCTTGTTCTAAGTAGGTGCTTTAGACCACTGAGCCATCTCACCAGCCCCTGCTCTTTAAATTTATGATAGCTGGATTGCTCAGTCATTTGGAAGCATGAACAGGTGTGATCTCTTAACAGTAGGTTGCAAAACTATCATATATACAGTAAAAAATTAAGGATGGCAATTGCAGCCTGTAGTGAGGCTTAATCAGACTGTCTAACATGGGACAGATTAGCTGGAGCAGTCTTCTGTGTTCTTGAGAGTGAACAAGCCAAGACTTATGTCATCTGTTAGAAAAGTTGAGCAACATTTTTTTTTTTTTTTAAAAAAACTGAATTTTGACAGGTATGAAAAAGAGAATTTCTCAGATCAAATGAGTGTGAAAATAAACAAAATAAAATTAGTTTTTGAAAATGTATAGATATACTGATTTCACAAAATATTAGGTAGATACTCTGTAAGCATTCCTAGAAACATGATCGCAAATCCCTTGTGCAGAGTTTATTTTAAGGAATTTATGATTTGCTAAATTATATCATTTACACTGGTGATTCTGAGGAGAGAGAAATTCATAAAATTCTTGGCATTGCTAATCTGATTAATTGAGCACAGAGCTTTCTAACAAGTGGCCTGAGGCACACTGGTTTATTGTGAATTTTTACAGCTTGACTGGTTTGTTGATGCCTCTCAAGCCACCTGGTGCTGGTTCTGGTGCTGGTATTCTGGATCCCTTAGCTAGTTATAGGGTTGCTTGGTACAAAAAGAAGCCTCTTCTATGACAAGCCTTACCATAGCATACTTTTTTTTACTGTTAAAGAATTTGGATATATTAACCTCAGGGCCTTTTAATATTACATGTACAAATCTTTCCACTTTATATCTTTTAAGTACTGGTACTCTTTCCTCCCTGGTTTAAATTCTCATCATTATCATAGTTAATTATAGGATTATGATTATTCAGTGGTTTTGGGAGGACTGGTGGTTGAAGACTACTGATCTTTGTTCTCTTATATTTTCATCATAACATTGACCTACCTTCCAATCCTCTTTTTCCCCAGAGGTCTATCTTAGTCTGTCTTACCAACTTCCACTGCCTGAATGTAATTCTCTCACATCCTAACAAACTCACACCATTGACCTCTTTGTCTGCATTCTCCTAACTGTGATAGAAATCTTTTTACTATATCCCAGTGTTGTTTTTACATGAAGGAGTGTTATTTTCTAGGCATGTTAGTTTGTTACTGTTCAGAAGTGTAGTCTGTCCTCATTCTTCATCTTCTCTTCTAGCTTCAGTATTCTGAAGTTTCTTTTCTTTGGGACTTAAGGCACTTGGCTGTGTGAACCCCTAAGATGTAGAAATTTACTAGAAACTATATGCCTACATTTTCAATCTGTTTGAAATTTGAGGGCTGGGGAGATAGCTAAGTAGAATAGGGCCTGAGTTCAATCCCCAGTACTGAAAAAAAAAAAATAAAGAAAGAAAGAAAACAAAAAAGAAAAAGAAATTTGAAACATTGTTGTTACTTTAACAAATTCAGAGAATTGTGAATTTAATTTTATTCCTTCCAACCATTATACTGGAGAGAATGAATACTTTTTCATTGTGTCATTTTAAATATTGAGGTTTCTTGTTTATGTGAGTGGTGTCATAGGCACTCCACAGTTGAAGAACTAACTGGGATTGTATGTAATATGGATCCAGTAATTCTTTAAATTGTTGTAGCTGTGCTTTCTGTGCATTCTGTTTTGCACTCCCACGAAACTCAAAAACACACTTTTTCTCGCTCCCATTCTCTCTCCTCTCCTCCTCACTCCTCCCCTTCACTTCCCTTGCTCTTCACTTTTTTCTTCTTTAAGCAGCCGCTCTTCCACTGAGCTGCATCTGCAGCACTTTTAATTTCAGGACATGGTCTCACTAATTTATCTGGTTTGATCTTGAAGTTGTGATCCTCCTGGCTCAACCTCCCAAGCAGTTAATTTTCCTTCTCTTCTTCAGCATGAATATTCTGGTATGAAACTGAAGGAAGCATACACATTTTTCAGAGTAAATTTTTTTTAACCTGTACTTTAAGATTAGGAAATATGTGTGTGAAATATGTATATACTTATATACATATATATGTATCTTTTATAGGACCTTGTTTAATTTTACAGGAAAAGATTTATCAACAGTATAATAACAAAAGAACAAGTAATAATTCAGCAGTCTTAACTGCCTGCTGGGACTTTGGAGAAATAGCAGTGTACAGGAATGTCTAAACTTGAGAACTAATGTGGGTCTCATAGTTAAGAAGCTAAAAAAGATGTGCAGTTTAAGATGCCAGGCAGAGTCAAAAGCTAAGGAGTGGGCAAGACGTATCAAATTTCCAGCTCAGGCTTTCGTAGAGTGTCTTATTTTCTGATTTTTGAGGGGAAAAGGTTTAACACGTAAGTAAAATACCCAAGAGGGCCAAGTGAGGGAGTTCAAATGGTGGCTATTTTAATGGCCACTAGAATGGCTTGTGCCTCCAGCAGAATCTCGCCCAGTGACTGAGGTGAGTGCAAGTCAGATCTTTTGTGATAATGATGCCAGATTTGTAAAGATCACAGTGGTAATTTCAGTACCTTTGTTCCCTTCTTAACTCTTGTTTCCCTCCACCTTCACCTTTCAGAGGCTCTCCTTACAGAGAAGCACCTTTGGGTCATTTTGAAAGCTATGGAGGAACCCCCTTTTTCCAGACGCAGAAGGTGTTTGTGGATGTCCCAGAAAACACTGTGATGCTGGATGAGATGACCCTGCGGCACATGGTCCAGGACTGCACTGCTGTGAAAACACAGCTGCTCAAACTGAAGCGGCTGCTGCATCAGGTGAGTTTGCAGCAGGTATTTCCAGATCAGAGATTTTAAACTGAAAAAAGCATTGACTTTCCTTATTTTGAAAATAAAGTTTTGGGGTTAGTACATGATAAAAACTTTTGTCAGAAAAAATGTTTTGCATGATGTCTCAAAATCTAATCTAGGAATTTATGAGCTGTGTGATATTTGATAAGCCAGTCACTCTGTTTCTGATTCCTCATATTCATAACACTATGTTTTAAGCTGTTGAGAATTAGAAATTGTTATAAATTGGGCACTGAAATACTAAACACATACTGGACATTCAGTAACCAGATGTGACTACTGAAATTTAAGCTGCATGGGGAATAAGAAATAGCAATTTTTATATATGGCAGATAGTCATGTAAATTAACTTTGAGACTAAGTTTAATCTTCCCCAGTGCTCCTGTCTTTTGAAAGAAATCTAATTCATAGCAGTGGTACATGACTTGTGAGATGAGCTAATGGTGGTGCTTGACTTCTGATGCAAAACACCTTCTCTATTTATCCATTTTCAGGCTAGGTCAGACATAGAATAAAATACTAACTTCAAATTGGGTACACCTCTTGTGTAGTTTTAAATTGTACAGTGGACACTTGACTTACAAACTCAGTTTATGCGCAAGGATTGGTTGTAACCCAAGTTGGTTGTAAGTCATAACTTTTTCCCATAAAGAATAATGGAAATATCCATCATGCATTTCAAACCTCGCAAAGCACCCTTTAACTAACCTTTACATAATAAAACGGGTCATATAATATATGTAATTTCCTAGAAACACCAATAATTTCGTAGTCACCAAAAAGTTATAAAATGCACCTTATTTATGAGAATCAACAATTTCGTACTGTACTCACCATTCAGGTTGACATCTTTGGCTTGCAGGAAGACAGTATGAAATGGAAGGTGGTTATTGTTTGGAAGGGGAGGCCCCTTCTATGAGAATATCAGGAATCTGGCTTTCTTGTGTCCTTTCTGTCCTCATGAGAGTCTGTAGCTCACTAGGACCTGCTTCTGGCTCACTTGGTCTTAACTTTTCAGAACTAAGGACTGGTCTAAGGTCACTGTCTTCTTTAGCACTATTCTGTAGTATGACATGACATTGTTATTAAACAAGTAAATCCAGCAGTTGGCTTATTCTCTGTCTGGGTGGGTCTTCTCTACAAATGTTTATAGCTGTGTCCATTTTTGAAGGATTTCCTGTATTTCATATGAACTTTGCCGTATTGATTGTTAATCAGCTCCCTGCTTTAGAAAGCTCTTCAGCTGACATTTTCTAATGCTCAGCCAGAAGTTGCTGAAGTTGTCCTCTGTAGACAATTCCTTTGAGTATTCATCTACCAGTTCCTCAGCATCACTACTGTCTACCTGCGAGCCTGTGGGCTCTGCTATAGTGACAGTGTCATCAATCACAGGGTGAGTTGAAGGCTCAGGCTCTTCTACATAGCCTTCAAATTTCCTCTCCTGTATGATTTTAAGCCACCCTTTTCTTCTAGGCAGATCTCAGTGTCCTTAGAGAGACATTGGCCCAGGATTTCTCAGTTAACTCCACACAGGAAAGGATGTTGTAGTGTCCTTTCCAGAACCCTTTAAAGGTTAAATTTATATCTGAGACCATCAGGAAGCACTTCAGGAACAACTTCTTCAAGTTAGCTATAACCTGCTGATCCAAAGGCTGCAGTAGAAGAGTTGTATTACGTGGGAGGAACTCTACTATGAGCCGTGGAAATTTAACCCATTCTTCCAAATTTTGTGGTGAGCAGGAACAGTGCTGATGATGAGCAGAGCCTTGAGTGGTAAACTTTGGTCCTCTAGATATTTATTAACAATAGGACAGAAAGACCCCTCCCATCCACGTAAGAAAAAGTATTCTTGTTACCTATGCTCTTCTATTAGATCTCTGCATAACCTCTAGCCTATTTTTCATGACTATGTTTTCTGAAGACTCTAGTAGTCTCAGAGTGATAAACCAAGAGAGGATTGATTGATTGATTGATTGATTGGTTGATTGATTTTGGTACTGGGAGTGAAACTCAGAACTTTGCACTTACCAGGCAGGCACTTGTGCTGCTGAGCTATATCCTTGGCTCAGAAAGCTTTATCTTGAGATCATTAATCACATTAGCATATAGCAATAAGGTTAGCCTATGCTTCATAGGCTTGTTGCCTAGCATTTTCTTCTCTTCCTGGGTAATGTATATTCTTCTGGACATTTTCTTATAGGAACGACCAGTTTCATTACAGTTCAAAACTTGAGAGCAAAAGCAATTTTTCTGTGTCATTGTTTCAAAGTGGTGTGTATATAATTCTCATTAGCCCTTGTTTTGGCACTGGCTGTTTCACCATGTCTAGTTACGCTATGAACTGTACTTCTCACCTTAAAATTTGTAAGCCATACTTTACTGGCATGAAATGTTCCACCTTATCACCCATTGATGGATTATCTTTTATGAGATCTGCATCTCTAGCCCTAGCTTTTTCACAAATTATAGACTCAGGCTGTAACCTGCCATCTGCTTTTCATTTATCCATGCTAATAATAGCCTTCCTACCTCATCTAACACTGTTGATGGTGATTTACTAATCTGAGTAGCATCTTTAGCAACAGTAGCATCCTTACACAGATCTTTTTCCTGTTGTAAGATTATCAAGATCGTGGATTTTGACATGTGAGATGGATCTCCTGAATTGGTAGTCCTAGCCCAAGTTGTTCATATGTGAGGCTGATTTAACTTGAGGGTCCACTGTATTTCTGTTTTATATGAAATCCAACTTAAAAAATCTAACTTAAAAAAACAGTCTGATTTGTCCCTCCTATAGAATTTGTTTTCTGCATCACTTTCCTTGTGGTTCTGTTTTAGCTTCTTATGAGCCTAGACCAAGTCTTAGATTTCGTGGTGACCATCACAACCACACTTAGAGGACATGTCAAGACCCATTGAAGTGAGATATGGCTCTCATGTTAGTAATTATGTTGAGTGTACCTATTCTTCATTGTGTAACTTGTTTCATTATTACTCAGGATTTTTCTGGACCACTGCTCTCCATGTTTGTGTATGTTTGACAACCTTTGGGGAAAATAACAGCTTTCCTGTGTTACAGCTGGGAGCAAGAGAGTAGAGGATTCTTTTTGGATCTGGGATGCTTGGGCTCCTCCCAAGGCAGTAAAGGTTTCCGTGCTTGAGTCATCCAAACATAGAATGTACAACTTAGTTAAGTATAACTGAGGTGTAGGCTTTGTTTTATAGTGTTCCTTTGCTGGCTGCTCTGGGGAAATTTTCTGAACAGGAGTTTCAGCATCAAAGGAAAGAAGAGGCAGGAAATGGAGAGAAATAGTTACAATGTGTTAACTGTCTACTGTCAGTCAGTGAGTGTGCCAGCTGTGCCACTTACTCTCTAAGTATATTGCCCTGAGTCATGAAGTTTGACTAAATTTCAGCTGCTAACTGGCTGTGGTGGCATACACCTATGATCCCAGCATTTGGGAGGCTGAGGCAAGAGGATCTCTGGGAGCTTGAGGCCAGTCTGGGTTGTATAAGCATGTTCAAGGCCAGCTTGGGCTACATAATGAGACTCTGTCTCAAAATGAAATGAAGCGAAGCAAAGCAAAGCAACACAATACAACTATAAATTTCAGATAAGATGAGGTCACCTATAATAATGACAAGAGGAGCATAATGATAAAGGGAATAGGTAAATTGATATCCAGTGACTAATACAGTACCACAGAAATTAAAAAGTGGTTTTTAAGGTACCTTAGATAAGGGTAAATTTCTTGATGGTTCTTTCCTGTCATTATGACCTCTGGTATTTTATGTAGTACATAGTGTTCAAATTGACTACTTTTTGTTTACGAAGTAAAAACACACATGAGAAGAAAATGACAGAATCATTGTAGGGTGATTTTAATCTCCTTTCATATTTGTTAAATTAAAAAAACAATATGAGACATATGCATAGTTTTTTAAAAGTTCTTGTACTATCCAAAGGCTTGATATAAAAACAGGTTCTGTCTTCTTCTATCTCAGGCCATCTATTACAATTTGAACAGGTTACTGCATAAAGCTTCTCTAGAGCTGTAATAAGGGATCTCTTTTACCATAACCTGGAATTGGAGCCACTGTCTGTGTCCTAAACATTTCGTCCTTTTTTTTTTT